AGATTATCGGAATTGATAGCAATCATTGAGTTAATCAATGAAATAGTTAATCGATAAAAATAGGGCATTGGGTGAATGCAACCAAATGTTGACAGTTTGGTTTGGCTGATGCGATAAGAGCATAATCTAAATGCAGACATGGAAAACTTTTCCACAACCGCAAATCGGGCAACAAATAGTGTGTATGTAGCGGGTTAAGGCAGACAAAATAGATTGCTGGACTAGATAGGCAAATTGGTCCTTAAGAAGAACTTGTGATTTACCGTGATGGTAGGAGCGAGTTCTCAAGGGATCCATAAAATGCACATATCCATGCAATGGCGTAGGGTGGAACTAAGCGGGTTGTTTGTTAGGATCTGGATCATTATCATTATCATCATCATCAAACAGCAAAATACGGTGAGGTGAACTTCACTGATCGCGGCCAAACTCATAATGCATACAAGGTAAGTGACAACGTGTGAAGAGGATAGCGATTGGACTTATTTGGGGAACGGGGACAGTAGACGAACATCGGTAGTCAAAACGCAGAGTATGCAGTCCAAATGGGCGTACAAACTAATCCAAGCATTCTGGCCCAATAAGAAGTGTCAACCAACTGGCCACTGGTGTCGTTTTGCTGCCATGTCCTTCACAGTTTCCATGCGTCCAGCGGGAACTGGATGGAAACCAAACGGAGCCAGATGCCAACTAAAACGGCAGACAGAATTTTAAAAAATATAAAGTGAATGGGTAATCGGGAATACATAAAAAATGATAAAGATAACACAAACATCAATGTATACCACTAACGCAGGACAAACTCCAAATTGTCACGATCAAACTGCTTTATGTTTAAATTGAAACCTGGCCACCGTCACATTTTACCGCGCCAGTATTGGTCCTTAAAAGGTTCGCACTGGACGACCGGTGTTTACCGTTCCCCACACAATATGATTCACACCTCTTCGTTTCAAACGTGAACCTGGCGTGAGATGTGAATCTCAGTCTGACGGATAATGAATTGTGCAAACGTAATTCAGGCTAGAACCAAATTTGGAACCGACTCACACTGTCCCCGCTAAGCTTGGATCATCACATGAAATGGCACATTTTTGAATGCGATATTGTTTCCGTGGACACGCATTCGTTATTGTATTTCTACAGGTCATACAGTGAAATAGAAATCAGACGTGAGTGATGAGTGCACCGGTGCATCAACGCGTACACGCAACACGCAGTTGAGGTGAAACAAAAGTGAAATCATCCCCGGCATGGTGGTCAGCTGGAGCAAAACAAGACACACATGCGCGCACATTCACATGCGCGTATGCAGTACACAGAGAGTGCACGCGAACCCGAGGTATTGCGTGCCTGTGTGTGTGTGCGAGTACTGTTGGGCTCATGAATGGATGGAAACAAAAAAAACACGGTTCTTTTGTTCTTCTCGCTCCTTCCTCTCTTGTCTGGAGGTCGTCCCTAGCATCAATCATTGCAGTTTGGTGGTCAAAATAGCACAAACATATATAAAGGCACATCATCCTTGACCAAAGAAAGCACTTGTCTTTCGAGATCCGCCAACTCATCAGCTTAAAACAGCGAAGGTGACGAAAAATGGGAGTTCATTTGAGTCTTACATTTCTGGTCGTGTTCTCCCTCGTCGTTTGTGTGATGTCAAAGTGCTGTTGTTCAGAAGATGAGAAAACGACTCCAACCCGGCACCAGACGAAAACAACGAAACCCTCGAAGGTAAGTGATTATTGAAGGATCTAACACACACATTGTCGAGCTCTTCACTGAGCAACACCAAAGTGATCATCCCAAACATAGCATAGCAATATCAATTTGCCCGAATACAACTTCTCCAGTTTGTTCCATAACCGGACTCAAATGAGCCGTTCTCTTTTGTTTCACATAGACCCAATGGATCACACCGATACCGTCGGGATCGAAAGGAAAATGGGATAGGAATGAATTCTTGGAGGAACACAATCGCTATCGTAACATGATATCGACCGGCACGGAAACAAGTCAACCAAGAGCAGCCAATCTTCCTAAACTGGTAAGGTTACTGATCAACCACGATACAAATGAATCGGTTTGTGTTCATTTTGTGTTTTGTTTTAGATTTGGGATACCGGATTGGAACGCAAAGCATACGAGATGTCTCTCAGATGTTATTTCAAGCATGAAACTACCGGAGAGAATCTGTATGTGCACACAAGCAAAGATGCTGAGTGAGTTTTGTTTTTCAGCGAGACTACTTGAATCTATATACAGTGTGCAGAATTTTCAAATGCATTGCCGCTTTATGATCAGATGAGGCAGCCACATACTAATGCATATGTTTCCTACACCGGACACCTGTTGAACGCATCAACTTTCGGTTATGTTTCACGATTCTCAGATGAATGTAGTGTGAACTGCGCTCCTGAACGTGGTTCCGGATTGCGACTGTTGCACATTTCTACCGTTTATTCTCCTAATCATGACCAATCACATCCTACAAATACACACACACACACACACACCATTCCCATTTCCACAGCCCCGTGAAACCGTGGTTTGATGAACAATCGGCCTACAGATACACTCCGATCAGTTGGTCGAATTTGCATGTGCACGGACACTACACTCAAGTACGTTTCACTCGGGTGTCGTGGATTTCTTGTCATTTTGATTGTCTGCAATGTACCCAACCCTGGTTTAAGTCTGACCATTTCGATCACAGGACGTCGCTCGGTCATTTTGCATCATTGTGAATTAACACTTGCACACAATGTTGATCTGCTTGCAATAATGTATCAGGGACAATTTTGTTTAGAAGAGGAAGCACTACATGGAATCAAGTTACTCTTGTGTGGCAATGAGTACTGTGTATTTTTCAGTGGAAGTTCACTCCGAAAAAGACCTTACCTACCGATGTAGAAATTGGATACATTTGCGCGGATGTTGGACGTTTACCTAATCCGTGTTTTTTTGCATTTTGTACCTCCAAAACGTGTACATTTGGTTGGGACATTCACAATTGTGCTTCTCCATATACTGTAAGAAATCCAATATGCAGTTTGACCAGTTCAAAAATGAGGAGTTTTGGGAAGCAGTGGCTGAGTTGTACGTGACGATGTGAATGAAGTAATAGCATACAGAGAACCATACTTCATTGTGTTGTCCCACATTCAGACCAGGCCAACAAACGTACCTGCTCACACTGCCGATAGTAAAGAATATTTGTATCGCACACCAATGCACTAACCAACGAGAATGTTGTCTGACATGACCCGATCATTCACTCACGTTTCACTGATCGAATGTCAGTCTCGAGGTCGAACCTTTTTGTCATCATTCACAGATAAATGACTCACGATCGGGTTGTTTCTTATCATCTCTTCCATCACTATGCAGTTGGTTTGGGCTAATACAACACGCGTCGGATGTTGGAGAAATACATGCAGTCCAATGCGATTCCCAAACGGAAACCCATGGGCGACAGGATATTACACGGTGTGCAAATATGATCCTCCGTGAGTGGCTTATCTATGCGCAAATGCTTTCACTCTCTCCCTCTGTGTGTGTATCTATACGTGTTAACGTCTTGACATACTCGGATGATCACACATTCTTTCACGTCTGTGTTCAAAATAGCGTTCACATTCACATTCGATAGTTCGCGGTCACAAATGGACTTGCTGATGCGAATGAAACAGCTTTATTTATGCAACAGAGATAAGCTGGGATTTGTAAGCATTCTTCGAATCACGCAATGCTACGTTTCGTAGTCAAGCGGCGCATTGGAGCAAAAAATCTGGTTGAATTAATTGTTCGTGTGATAATAATTTCAGAAAAAACAGTCTCGTTTAATATGGTATTGTTGGTTCTTCCGTTTACTGCTAAATGCTCCGATCACACTTGGATTCTCATGAACTTGCAACGATGCTTTTCAGTTACTGCACGCTTCCTCTTTTATTTCTCACTCGTCAGTGGTAATTACATCGGCCAACTGCCATACAAAAGGGTGTGAAGCGTCCGAGATCAATGAGATGTGGAAGAAGCTTGTCGATATTTCATTTTACCATTATTATATAATCTTCTGAATAACTCCCCAATAAATGAGCAATTTTATTCCAAAGCATGTGGTTCTTGCTAGTCACTGCATTATTTCGGTGGATACGGATATAAGTTCCGATGATATTCATCAATCTGATGATAGTTTGGGTTATATCTGCGGTCTATCTCCATAACCTCAATTATATATTTGCCAACAGGTTATTAAGTAAAATTTTATTTTGATGGTTACTTGGTTCGAGTCGGAATTTTGGGCAAACGGTTTGGCTGCGCTCGTTAATTATTCGCAGATTGGTTCCATGTGAATCCTTCTGTTATTTTATCTGATGTTATGAAACCATAAAACGCGTGCTTAGGAATACAATCTTTACGAGTTTATGATTCATCTGTACAATCACTCCTATGCTGAGATAAGTTCATTGAGTTGCATGCAACAGGTTGGTCTGTTTATTCATCAAACATTTTTGGCAATCCAGATTTGATGTTCTAAGTAGGGCGATCACATGACACCACGATGATCCTTGTGGAATCAGTGTGCTTGCACTTTGGACCAATCCCCCTCCCCGTATGCTGCTCCTGAAGTTAGACTCTGGTCTATGAGTTTATTTCTGTTCCACTTCCTCTGGCATCGTAGATTTTGGAGGCCTGAACAAGGCGGTCTTTTTCATGCAAATATCGAGCAAGGTAGACTGGGATAAATGCCTCTGATTTATATTGTGCCAGGCTCATTGTGTAACCCAAGTGGCCGATACAAATGATCCAAAATTGAGAAAAATCTGCTTCTAATTTGCGTGTGAACGCCCCGAACCTGGCAGTGACTACCGCTCTATCAAAATGCTGCTGATCACAGTATGTATTTATGTTTCACACGTCTGAATACAGGCTATATGCCAAAAATATCACAGTACAATAATCTTTATAAAAAGAGTAGGTTCTGTGATGTGTTTGTGGGTGGAATACTATTAGGTTTCCCAGTGAAAGGCAGGTCAATTTTCTTGAGGAATTCACAGCCAGGGTCTTTGACCAGCCAAAACCTGACCTACAAGGCAGTGAGGCGGTGTGTGAAAACCGCAATCCATTAGGGGCCGGTGTTCAGTTCATCGGATCGCACGTCATTCGGTCGGAGTCCAACGTCCAAATTACCCGATACACCTCGATGCCCAATCGCGCCGTGAATCACTGTCGCAACCAAGGTGTAGATGAGTGTGGTTCACACACCTCTTGTTGGTTGATTGGGAATCAGGGTTTTCAGCAGACTCTCCTAGGTGAACTGTCATGAGTTCACCGACCCGTATATAGTCTCAGATTTCCGCTTTTCATCCTCACTTTAGTGGGAAAACACCTCCATCACGATGTAAGGGTGAATAGGGCTTCTTCGGCAGAGGCTGTCTGAGACACTTAGTCGTACAGGCTAGCGCGCCCTTTGAATGGGCTGCGCTACATTCTCGCGCTCATCACGTTTGAATTTATCACGTTTGTTTCATCAATATGTCAATGCCAAGCACAGCTGGGATCTAAACATATTCTATTTAGGACATGCTTCGGCTGAAAACTGTGAATCCTCTGCTCCCCGTTAACTGTTTGCTTGTTGAGAGTTAGAAATATCCTTGGATCAGAAAACGCAGGCAAGCCGGATGGCAGACTGCACTTACCTGCAACCCTCCCGGCAAGAGAACGTTGCCATCTTTGGTCAGCTCTCATGTTTGCTTGCGATTTACGGAAATCTCGGATTAAATCTGCTTTCTCATCGCACACATTAATTCCAGCACATGTGTCGTTTGTTTGCAAGAAACTTGGTTAAATCAAAAAGTTGAGGACGTGCTCGTGTGAATAGAAAACCTTGATTGCTACCGACAGGATAGGCAGCGAAGTAGGAAAAAACTAGGTGAAGCGGCCTCCTACATCAACGTTTCCTGGTGCGGCAAGTCAGCGGTGATATATAACTATTCCAGAAAAGGCATCGACCGCCAGTCCGTTCACCGTCGGTTCCTAATTTTTGGCGTCAAGTTACCATTATTTCATTCCCCAAATCCTCGTCATCAACTTTTCTTGTGAAGGGACTTCGTCCCATCTCGCCGAACTCAGCGGCTCTAAAGTTGACTGAAAAGGCCACTCTGAGTCGCTTGCAGTCAATTACTACAATTCCCTATGACCCCCGCCAGTTTTCATGTAAACCCAACAGATTTACATTGGACGCCATACCCACCCTAATTCATTTTATCAGTAAGTCATTGAACAATTCGGAAAAAGTCTGTCCGTTGTGTTCTTCTTGATTTTTTGTTCGCGTTTGATTGTTTCTCGATCGTCCCTTCTATTCAAATTTTAATCTTTGGGCACTCCGAAACAGCTGCTCTGACTACTTCACAGAGACGGTCCAGTGAACCAAACTGGAAAGACACCAAAAGATCTTGTTAATAATTCTCGTGTGCTTCTTTCCCCATATATTTTCTGTTTTTATCAGTGATGTTTTGGTTCTACCCACAGAACATATCCAAAAGTAAGCTGACTTCGCATTGTGTCAATTTTCTCTCCTTCGGACTTCGATTCTTTCACTAAAAATCTATCCCAAATCCAACAGTTTTCCAACCAATTTGATCACGGTCTTAACATATCCAAGTGCCTAGAGCGCATTTTCAGTTTTTACCGCTCTTTATTTTCAACGGACTCTGCTACACTCAAATGTAAACCGGTGTCCAGAGTGACCCCAGTCAGGTACCTGGGTGTCACCATGGACAGCAATCTTCACTGGTCCACACACATTTCCATTGTTATAAGAAAACTGCGACGCCTCTCCTTTCAGTTACGCAGACTCAGGCAATTCGAACCTCCTACAGTCAGTCCAGTCCTCTTCCGTTCACCAATGCGTTTACCCATTCTAATCTATTGCTCCATGTAATGTTTCCCTGACTTTTAAAACCAGACTTGAAGACCATTCGTCGGTATTTGATGATCATCAGTTGTGCATCATTAACCTCGATCGACTCACTAATCACAGAACTCATTGATCGTCACATCAACCCTCGTGTTAAATTTGCCAATAAGATTCTAAATGACCCTCTTCATCTATCATCTTGTCGTTCCCATCCGTCCACACGCTCTTCATTTCCGTATCTACTGTCTCGCATTAACATTTATAAAAATTCCCCTGTAACCTACCTGGTCCGACCCCTAACCAACAAGGAACACGTCGCAAGTGAACTACGTCAAAAGTTTTGTACATGAAACAAACTTCGGGGACATGTCTTATCTTGCATGTTATATGAAACTGTATAATTCATTCCGCGTGAAGAACAGTGTACATTTTTAACTGAAAATTAAGCATATAAGCTTGTACAAATTAAACGAAGACAAATTTCATGAGTTGCAAGGGAAGCGTGACCGCGGTAGTTTCATCATAGCCAAAAACGCGCAGTTCACTCCAGATTCCAGACTGGCATACATGATGTAGCTCAGGCACATAGTCGAACTGTGGCCGAATAAGCACACCTTCAACTTCTATTGCAGAACAGAACGGTCTCTCATAAAACGAGGTCATATATCAGAAGGAAGATCAAGATTAACCTTGCAGGTATTGCATTTCCAAATTTCCAGTTTCTGAGGTTTCACTTATATGGTCATTTAATACAATCAAATCAAATGTCAACCCTTTCAACCAGTCTCTACCCAATACGTTAGCCGTATTTCCTTCTGAAATGATAAGTGAATAATTGAGCTGATCCGGATTGTGAGGAGCAAACAACTACCAGAGAAACAAAGGGGCAGAACACTGTTGCTGAAAGCAGTATTCAGAAGGCTTGACCGTGACGGCATGTTTTCACATTTGTCTTCATATTTGAGCCGCGGTTGAAGGTCACATTCAGAACAGGCACTCATCTCTCCTGTTTGTAAGATAAAATGCGCCACAATCCTGCTAAACGCAAATGCTGGTTTACAGCGAAGTTGGAAGAAAAATAGCAACGCCCTTAGAGATACTGTAACATCAGACTTGCTGTGTCAGTGACGATGGGGAAACTGGTGGAGATCACGGTCCGTTAGCAACAAGAGACTTAGGAAGCCTTCAACGTA